GGGAAGACAGCCTGGATTATTCGGGTTCCTGAGGAGAATGTGTGGCCAATCAAATTCATCTGGCCATCGAAGTTCCCGCGTGGAAATGAAGTCCAGATGTTCTTTAGAAAAAGGTGCTCAATGGGAAGGGTGTGGTGCCATCTGACACGGTTCCGAGTGGACATTTCAGAAGCCCTAGAAACCCTCGAGACTGGCTGGAGCAGTGGTGTATGCCAGACGGGTGAAGGAGAGCCGCGACCGCGTCGGTCGATCGGTCTATCTATAGTTCAGTTGCTCTATCTGCCATTCGGTTGGTTCATCTGTTGGTCAGTTGGTCTTCTTGACGGTCGGTCTATTTGTCATTTGGTCTATCGGACGGTTGGCCGGCCTATCTGTCATTGGTCTATCGGTCGGTTGGTCAGTCCGTCTGTCCATCCATTGGTCCATCGGTTGCTCGGGCAGTTGCTCGCTCTGTCAGTTAGTTGGTCGCTGGTTCGGTCTGTCTGTTGATCTGCCATTTGGTCGGTCCATCCGTCAGTCGTTTGGTTGGTCCGTGGGTTAGGTTCGCTGGTTCTGTCTGTCTGTCTGTCTGTCCACACACGCATCACTACGTACATAACTATCGCTAAGTTCCTGCCTGTGACAAGCGGACGATCGGGGCCCTCCGATTTTTTGCTGCGCGACGGTCCTGATCGTCTGCTGATCGTTTTTTCTTAGAAGTTGAAGCGTTGCCAGGGCCAGTACAGGTCCCGAATGCCAGTGCCGGCACCACGCTTGGTACTGGGCCCGCGCACCAGAGCCGGTACCACACAAGGTACTGGGTCCCCGCGCTAGCACCAGTACTGTCGGGACGTTGCCGGGCCAGCACCAAGCGCCCGCACGTAACAATCTTTTTCCTATACCAGAGGCGATGCGGGAAAAACCGCCCCCACACCGCGCCTGCCCTCCAATCGACTTCGACTTTTCATACCTAGACTTTGACTTTTCATACTTTAGGCTACAGCGCTCGACTTCGACTAACTTCTACGCTGCTATGCACGACTACGACTTCGCTCCATGTTGGACACACGCACACGCACACACGTACACGCACGGACACATGCACACACATGCACACACGCACACACTCAGGCAGGCACACGCACACACGCACGCACGCACGCACGCACACACACACACACACACACACACACACACACACACACACACACACACACACAAACGCGGTGAGTCCTTGGCCATCAGTACAGTTCATCTTGGGCGGACTGTCGGGGTTCAACCTCCTGATGAGTCGGTGGAAGTCCGACGAAACAGTCTGGCTGAGTCATTTTGTGAGTTCTGTATAGCGAGCATAACAACACTCATACATACTCAGACTCACCCACACAGAAAACACACACCCACACACACGCACACGGACATACACACACACACACACACACACACACACTAACCCAGGACACATCTCTACATCCTGAATGTGGGACGCTGAGGCTTGAGCTGTGCACCGTGAAGGCTTTCGAACGACCGCACCTTGATGACTGACGGTGAGTTTGTGATTTGTGTCTGTTGCTTTCTTTTTTTGTGGTCTTGGAACTATGAGAGAGAGAGTGTGTGTGTGTGTGTGTGTGTGTGTTTGTAACTTTGTGTGTGTGTGTGTGTGTGTGTGTGTGTGTGTGTGTGTGAGAGAGAGAGAGAGAGAGAGAGAGAGAGAAAGAGAGAGAGAGAACTAA